TGTGAGAGAGAAACATTGATCAGCTGCCTCCTGAATGCACTCTGACCAGATCAAACCTGCAACTTGGGCATGTGCCCTGACCAGGACTTGACCCCGCAACTCTTCAGTGCATAGCTCCGACCAGCTGAGTCACACTGGCCAGGGCCAGAGTGTTTTTCTTAATAAAGGCCCATAAGACCTGGCGGCCTCCCATTTATCTGCCTTTCCATTTGGAGAAAAATTCAGCCTTGACTTTCATGCAAGGTTATGGTCTTGCCCCATCCCCAATAGTCCATTGTTCAGCAAGACAAACGCTGACACCAAGACTTCTTAGGCATGAGCCTTCCTAGCACTGTGGGACCACATTATCCAACAAAAGGGTTGGTCATCAATGCATACTTCCGGATTGATTTATGACCAAAAGGGGGATGTGGGAAATGAAAAAGGGCTACATGCTAAACCTGACAAACTCAGGAGAGGCCTGTGTGGTGGCCTTACAAACTCAGAGATCTGAAGTAACCACATAAGATAGTCTGAAATTAAAGAAATTTTGTTTTAATTTATTAAGGTATTACATATGTGTCCTTATCGCCCCCTCCCGCCCCCCTCCCCACGCCACTCATGCCTCTCACCCCCCTGGTGTCTGTGTCCATTGGTTAGGCTTATATGCATGCATACAAGTCCTTTGGTTGATCTCTCCCCCCTTACTCCCACCCTCCCCTACCTTCCCTCTGAGGTTTGATGCTGCTCTATCTCTGGATCTGTTTTTGTTCATCAGTTTATGTTGTTCATTATATTCCATACATGAGTGAGATCATGTGATATTTATCTTTCTCTGACTGGCTTATTTTGCTTAGCATAATGCTCTCCAGTTCCATCCATGCTGTTGCAAATGGTAAGAATTCCTTCTTTTAACTAAAAGCTGTTCATGGGGGGAAACCAAGATGGCAGCATAGGTTAACGCCAGAGTTTGCTGCCTCGAACAACCACTTCAAAAATACAACTAGAAGACGGAACGGACATCATCCAGAACCACAGGAAGGCTGGCTGAATGGAAGTTCTACAACTAGGAGGAACCGAGAATCAGAGGAGGTGCAGTGCTGAAGTAAAATACTAAGGTGCGGAGTGCGCGCGGCGTGGGCTGGTGGCTGAGGGTGTGGTTGTCTGTTTCAATCCGGAGGGAGCCTCAGACTCTGAGCTCCAGATCCGGGCGAGTCTCTAGGGACCCAGACTCAAACAGGAGAAGCAGGACTGTCTGGCTACGGTCCCTCCAAGGTTTGCAGCTGTTGCTGGGACAGAGAGGCAGAGCCCCTGGGGACGGACTGAGAGCAGCCATAACTGCTCCCTCCTCTGCCCTGTTGATCAGTGGGACCCGCTCCACCCAAGCCCTTCACAGAGCCTCAGGCAAAGGCTAGATTAGCACCTCCCTAGAGGACACAAGTTCTTCCACTGCAAACACAGCTGATTATCACAGCCAGTCGGCCTGGAGGTCAAATCCCTCTAGTATTAACTATAACAATCAAGGCTTAACTACAACAAGACTGCGCACAAAGACCACTAGGGGGTGTACCAAGAAAGCGTAAAAAAATGCGGAGACAAAGAAACAGGACAAAACTATCAAGGGAGGATATTGAGTTCAGAACCACACTTTTGAGGTCTCTTGAGAGGCTTCTAGAGTCTGTCGATAAACTTGATGAGATATACAGGAAATCTAATGAGACCCTCGATGGTGTGATAAAGGACCATCTAGAAAGTAAGCAGACACTGACTGAAATAAAGAATATTATACAGACTCCCAACAGCAGACCAGAGGAGCGCAAGAATCAAGTCAAAGATTTGAAATGCGAAGAAGCGAGAAACACCCAACCGGAAAAGCAAAATGAAAAAAGAACCCAAAAGTACGAAGATAGTGTAAGGAGCCTCTGGGACAGCTTCAAGCGTACCAACATCAGAATTATAGGGGTACCAGAAGATGAGAGAGAGCAAGATATTGAAAACCTATTTGAAGAAATAATGACAGAAAACTTCCCCCACCTGGTGAAAGAAATAGACTTACAAGTCCAGGAAGCGCAGAGAACCCCAAACAAAAGGAATCCAAAGAGGACCACACCAAGACACATCATAATTAAAATGCCAAGAGCAAAAGACAAAGAGAGAATCTTAAAAGCAGCAAGAGAAAGAAACTCAGTTACCTACAAGGGAATACCCATACGACTGTCAGCTGATTTCTCAACAGAAACGTTGCAGGCCAGAAGGGAGTGGCAAGAAATATTCCAAGTGATGAATAGCAAGAACCTACAACCAAGATTACTTTATCCAGCAAAGCTATCATTCAGAATTGAAGGTCAGATAAAGAGCTTCACAGATAAGGAAAAGCTAAAGGAGTTCATCACCACTAAACCAGTATTATACGAAATGCTGAAAGGTATCCTTTAAGAAGAGGAAGAAGAAGAAAAAGGTAAAGATACAAATTATGAACAACAAATATGCATCTATCAACAAATGAATCTAAGAATCAAGTGAATAAATAACCTGATGTACAGAATGAACTGGTGATTATAATAGAATCAGGGACATAGAAAGGGAATGGACTGACTATTCTTGGGGGGAAAAGGGGTGTGGGAGATGCGAGAAGAGATTGGACAAAAATCGTGCACCTATGGATGAGGACAGTGGGTGGGGAGTGAGGGCGGAGGGTGGGGTGGGAGCTGGAAGGAGGGGAGTTATGGGGGGAAAAAAGAGGAACAAATGTAATAATCTGAACAATAAAGATTAAAAAAAAAAAAAAGAAATAGATAAAAAAAATAAAAAAAAATAAATAAAAGCTGTTCATGGTGGGTAGTCATGTCATAGGGCAATATTTTTCTCCGACAAAGGCCAATCTTCACCTTACTTGAGCCTGTCTGTTGTCTTTCTGCATCTAGGATAACCACCTGATAAACAAACCTTTGGAATAACAGGGTAATTCCTAACCCCTGCCCCCCAAAGCACAACCACAGCACCAGAGCAGAGACCACAAATACCCTCATTGTTATTGTTATCATGTTAACTGTTGACTGTTAACCATCCTGTACCCACTTATGTAAAAGAAAGTGTCTATTCATTTTACTTTTTGTACCATACCCAAGGTTTCCCCCTTTGCTTTCTCCTGCCTCCCTATTCTATCACCAGTGGATTTCACGTAACCCCCTTATGTCTTCTCCTTTGATTGTAATGTATAAAATAAGGTGAATAATTGCCATTCTCTGAAGCATTTTCTTAACCTGTTGAGTTTTTGCTTCCTGGCAATTGTACTCAGTTTGGCTCAAAAAAATTCATAAAAATTCTTACAGGTTTGAATATTTCTTACGTCGACATGGCAAGTGGAAAGATGGTGCCTTTTACAGAGGTGAGGTGGAGATGAGGGGAAGGGATGAGGACCAGCTGTGGTGGGAAGCTGGTGGAGCAGGTTTTGCAGGAAGGAGGGGAATCCAGATTTAGTTTTTGGCTCCATGTGAGGTACCTTTAGGTGTCCCAGGAGTTTGGATTAGAGCTTGGCTTTAGGACCTCCTAGACCTAGAACCTCCAGAACCAGAAAAAGGAAGAACTGGCACCTACTTCATGACAACAAAGTGCAGGCCAGCCTCCTGCCTGATCTCCGGGCGTACCCCTGCCATGGCAGAGGCTAGAGTCAAGACCAGAAGAGACTTCAGGGGACATTCAGGACATACTCTGAGGAACAGAACTCTGGCCTAGAGAGCAGAATTGAGCAAATTATCTGACAAGATTGTAAGGACTCGAAGAGTCTAATGATTTGAGATGACCACGGCTGCAGGATCCTATAGATAAGAAAACGTAAACATGCTTAAGATTCTAAAGATTCCAAGACAAGACTTCCTACTACCCTGGAAATAAAATTCAAGTTCCTCATGGCAGCCTCCCACGGGAGCCTTCAGGATCTGTCCAGTGGCTGCTGGATTTACATCATCTGGTTCCGCTCTAATGTCTGCTCACAATGCTCCACTCACGGTGGCATTTTGTTTCTCAAACACCCAGTCAGCCTCAGGGCCTTTGCATCGCCCTCTGCCCGAAATGCTTGGCCTGGAGAGTGAGGCTGGCTCATTTTCTGTTCCCAGCTCAAAGGCCTGTCCCCTCCAGAAGGAAGTAACCCAGACCACATAAACTGAATTGGCACTTCTCCCCACCCCAGACCCTGCTTTTATTTATTAAATAAGGTACCATATAAGTACTAAACTAATTAATATTTTACACTAGTGCCTGGCATGTAGTAAGTTTTGAATGTTTGTTAAATACATAAAACATTTTCTTCATAGCCTTTTGCCACCACCTGAAAGCATCTTATATATTGATCTACATTTTAATTCTGCCTTTCCCACCAGAATGTTCTCTCCATGGGGGCAGGGACTTCTGGCTCACTGATGTATCTCCACTGTCTAACACATAGCAGGTGCTCAATAAATATTTTGTTAAGTAAATTATTTGAATACAATTTGCTAATCTCTCAAATTTATCTAAAGCGTAGTCAAGGTTTCCAAATTTTCAAGTCTAAAGAGCAGAGATTCAGAGGTTCTCAATATAGATTTAGTAAAGTTAAAATAACCAAAATTCAACTGAGTAAATATGAAGATCTAATTGGTTTTAATGAAAAGATTCATGAAACGGGCCCCGTCCGTTCTAGCAGCTAGAAAGGTGCAGGAAGAGGCTGTACAAAATGGCAGGTTTTTATAGGAAGGGTGGGACAAGGGCGCTATGGACAGGAGAAAGGGTTATTGGGGCCAGAGACATCTTTTCTTGGGGGGAAGAGACTGAGGGTTTTGCCTCTTCTTTCTTTGGTGCATGGAGAGGCCCCCTGTGACCTCATTGGTGCTTGACCAGAACATTCCAGACTGGCTGATTAAGATTCTGTTTCTGGCAGAGGTTAACACTGCAATTAGATTAGGTATTAAATCTAGGTTCAGTATCATGGGTTTTTAGCACGAATGATGCCATTTGGGGCCTGTGGTTTTCTCTTTAACAGCAGGAGCTGAGACACTGCTAGTGGACCCTGGCCCCTCCTCACCCCTCACCTGGAGATGCCCACACGTCTGGTACAGCAGCTGACAGCTGACTACTCGGTCCCCCACCTGCTACTTTCCACCAGACACCTTCTGACCTGGGGTGAGTGGGGCCAGAGTGACCCTCTTTAAGTTTAAGCTCCCATCATGGATTTTTCTTAGTCTACTTTGGAGGCTGCCAACCCAGCAGGCTGAGTGGTGTGCTCTGGAAATTGCTGAGGGGGTTATTTTGTTTGGGATTGTCCCAGCATTATGGTTCCAGCACCTGACTTGCAGTCTGGGTATGAGTCATGGTGGTCTGCTCTCTGGCCCTCGCCACCCTTCCCCCAGTTTTTCCTCCCAGCTTTGCTTGTCTTAGTCTCTCTCTCTTCCATCCTTCAAAGCCACCTGACCCAGCACCGAGAACTGGGCAGAGGGGAGGTCTTGCTTCCTTCCTGCTGTCCCTGGCCTAGGGTTTCCCCGAGTGTACAGAGCAGCCCTGGCTGTGAGTAATGTTAGGGACTTGGTTATGTCACAGACTGCAGAGCAGCAATGTTCTTTGGTCTGCTAGTGCTTATCCCTTCCCTGCCTCCCATCCTTACCCATCCCTTCGTCCATCCTGTCACCCGCCTCTTCACTCCATCCTCTCTTTCTGACACTATTTACCATATGCTATAGCTGGGTAAGTGTGTGTGTGTATCGAATAGGAAGGCAGTCAAGGGAAAATAAAATTGCATGTCTTCCCTGTGATGACTCTTTCTCCCTCTGCTCCATCTCTATCTGTATCTGATTATCATCTGGTTCCACAACCCCCTTTCTTTTGCTTAAAAAAATAATTATTTTGCCCTAACTGGTTTGGTTCAGTAGATAGAACATGGGCCTGCGGGATGAAGGGTGCCGGGTTCAATTCGGTCAAGGGTACATGCCAGGTTGTGAGCTCTGGACCCCAGTGGGGGACGTGCAGGAGGCAGCCGATCGATGGTTCTCTCTCATCATTGATGTTTCTCTCTCTCTCTCTCTCTCTCTCTCTCTCTCTCTCAAATCAATACAAATATTTAAAAAATTATTATTTCAGCCCAGCTGGCATGGCTCAGTGGTTGAACATCGACCTATGAACCAGGAGGTCATGGTTTGATTCTGGGTCAGGGCACATGCCCCGGTTGTGGGCTTGATCCCCAGTGGGGGCGCGCAGGAGGCAGCCGATCAATGATTCTTTCTCATCATTGATGTTTCTATCTTTCTCTCCCTCTCTCTATAAAATCAATAAAAATAGATTAAAAAATAATTATTTCAAATACAAAGTCAAGACAGGTTTAGAGGAATTGTCATGTTTAGTCATATATGCACAGCTATTTTTGTTATATCTTAACATTTTTATCATTTGTATCTTTAGAGAAATAAAATATTTCTGACTGATTTGGGACCTCCTGTGTCCCCTCCCAGATGTCATATAGTTAATATTCTGAGGCATTTTTAAATTCTTTTCCTACATATTTGTGTATCTGTTACCAGAAAGGGGACTGGGCCCGAGCGAGTCTACCTCGGACTGGTGGGTAGTGTGTGGCTTCTTGACTTCATGCAGGAAAGATTTCACAATACAAGTCCAAGTGATTTTGAGAAAATGTTTATTAAAGCTGGGGACGGTGAAACAAAGAAGGGCCCAGGATAGAAGAAGCAACAGGAGCGCCCACTCGGGGCTGCTTTGACTCACTGGAAAGTCAGCGAAGAGGGGGCCTTGGGGACAGGGTCAAGGGGTTTGCCTGGGATGAGCTGCCTGCTCATGGCTCCCTTAGTTATAAGTTTTGTGGGGTCCCTTAGCGTTTAGGGCAGTGGTTCTCAACCTTCTGGCCCTTTAAATACAGTTCCTCATGTTGTGACCCAACCATAAAATTATTTTCGTTGCTACTTCATAACTGTAATGTTGCTACTGCTATGAATCGTAATGTAAATATCTGATATGCAGGATGGTCTTAGGCGACCCCTGTGAAAGGGTTGTTCGATCGCCAAAGGGGTAGCGACCCACAGGTTGAGAACCGCTGCTGTGGGGGAAGATGAGAGGAAAGGGAAAGGCATGAGTGTGCTCCCGGGAGGGAGAGCACTGGCTGGGTCCTTTGTCTTGAGGGTTTTAAAGGCTGGGAGTTTAGGAGAGGACCTCGATAGAATACTCATCAGTTTTCTAGCTGTGCCCTTCCAGGGTTGTGGTCTCCAGTGATTGGTCAGCGCCAGGACAGGAGGTCATTAGTTACTGCAGCTGGTCCTGGCATTGCCTGCCTGGTTTTGCTACTTTTCTGGGCCTCGAGCTGAAATACAACAGAGGCCTAGATGTTGTATTTAGGGAGGAAATGTCAGGGGTCTAAACTGCATGCCCAGCGATGTGCCAGGGGAGGAAAGGCCACCCTGGGATGGAAGTCCAGCACCAGTCTTGCCTGTTGCTAGGCACCTGGGGCTTTCTGCCCTGGTGACTGATAGAACCTCCGTTCCCCAACTGGTGGGCGGAGTATGACGTAACCTGCAGCCTGGAAATACCTGAGTGACTAACCATGTACCTTATATGGACTATACATTGGACCACCAATCCACACCTGCCAAATACCCTAAGCCCTTGTCCTATATGGACAATGCAGTAAGCCACCAATCAGTGTGCGCCGAGTACACTAAGCCCCCACCCCTTCCCATTCCGCCCCTCAAAAGGCGTGCCCACCCCTGCACGTGCTGCTGTCCTCCCCTTGTGAGACAGCCCGGCAGGTGCTTCTCCTCTAATAAGCCTGTAGTCTTGGTTTTCGGCCGCTGTCTGATTTTTCAGTGACCTTCTGTATCTGGCTGTAAAATTGATTGGCCATTTTGTTCAACTGTCTCAGGTTCCCCATTCCACTTGCCAAGGAATTTTCCTGGCTTCTTATTAACCTGCCTCATATCCACACATGATATTTGGGAAAATGTTCTTTTGTAGGTTTAAAAACTTTATATGTAGGGCAGCACACAGCATAAGCATGTCTTTCTGCAATAGCTTTTTTCTTCAGTTTTTGAGATTGTTCGTATCCATATCTGTGGCGGGGGTTCATTTATTGGTCATGGAATGGCTTTACTGCGTCTCCATCTGTTATAGGTGGAAGTGGGGTGTCCTCTTCCCCACTGAGTGCTTGAGATGGGGTCCTTACGATATCTCAAGAAAAATAATTTTTTGAAACTCGTGTGGGAGGATGGTGATTTTTATTTGCATGGAATTACACATCCGGGTTTCTAAAGTCCCATTTCCCTTAATCCAGTCCTGGAGGAAGTGGGGCTGGGGAGTCAACAGAGTAAAAGCAAAGCCAGTGCCCAGTTTCCATTCCACGCTGGCATTGGGTCCGCGTTAGCATTAGGCTAGTTGCAGTCCATTAGTCCCTTGTGTGGGGCCCCTGGCTGTGGGCTCTGTGGGTGAATTCGCGGGGGCCAAGAGAGCAGGCCCTGCAACAGGAGTCCCCAGGGTGCCAGGAGAAGAGTGCCAGAGAGAGCAAACTTCTTTGTTTAGGACAGTAAATATTTCAAATCTTTCTCTTCCAGTGCTTGCAGTGGCCACACCTACTCTGGCCAGTGGCCTGTTCCCAGGTGTGATTGACAGACAGGCACTTCCCTGTTTCACCCAGACTTCCCTGGGCAGGCATCCATTCTCCACCCTGTTTAGCCCTTCCCCCAGCGACCCGCTGGGAACGGACTGGTAGCTTCTGTTAAATTGCAGCTTCCTGGCGAAGCTGCACAAATGGCGTGTCTATAATATTTGGCCTTCTCTTTGCTCCTTTCCTGTTATTTATAACAAAGTTAATAACAACAGTTTCACATCCACTTCCCCTATGGACGTAGGTCGCTTCATTCTGTTTTCCTCTTAGCGACAGCACTGTGTTTTTCTCTGGTTGAGAATTTCCTCATTTCAAACGCTTGAGTCATGGGGCTTCTGGCTTTAAGGCTCCCTTCTGCTCTCTGCTGGGCTCCAGCCCAGTCTCCCCCAGGAGCTCCTGGCCTCCCTGGAGGTCCCCCCTCCCCCATCACTCTCCCTCACAGCCAGGGGGATCTTTCAACGGCAGGTATGTGATCCTTTGCCTGACACTGGTTGCACCTCCAAGCCCACAACTGGATGCCAGTCTTCCTCACCCCCAATTCCCCATGCCCCACACCACTGAAAATGTCCCCATCGCAAAAGCTGGCTTCGGAACTCTCACAGGGCAAGAAGTGTCTTGTCTGATGAAACTATGTGGCTTAGCTGGTTGGTGGCGTGGAAGAGGGGTGGAGAACAGCATCTCAGGAAATGTTTGGAGGGCAGCTTAATGGTTCTGCATTCAAATGGGACAGAAAAAGTTTGGGAGATGGGATGGAGAGGTGCGAGAGGTTCAGGTGTGAGCTCTGAGGGTGCTGCCTTGGGCTGGGAAACAGTGATGGCCTACATCCCGCTCTTCCCTGCCACTGCATCTCCTAGAGCAGTGATGGCGAACCTTTTGAGCTCGGCGTGTCAGCATTTTGAAAAACCCTAACTTAACTCTGGTGCCATGTCACATATAGAATTTTTTTTGATATTTGCAACCATAGTAAAACAAAGACTTATATTTTTGATATTTATTTTATATATTTAAATGCCATTTAACAAAGAAAAATCAACCAAAAAAATGAGTTCGCGTGTCACCTCTGACACGTGTGTCATAGGTTTGCCATTGCTGTCCTAGAGTGACTTCAGCTGTTAGCCAGCCTCTCAGTTTTCCCATCTGGAAACGGAGCTCACAACTACCTGCCCCTCAGAACACAGAACAACCAAATGCGGGGATGCGGCTTATTCCAGCTCCTCATCGTAAGGTGGGATGGCACATTAGCACCTCCCTCACAGGGTTAATGCGCATCGCGTGGTTAATGGACGCTATTGGCAGATAACTGATGTGAACCAGCTACAGCTTGCTGCAAGCGTGGCACCCGCACCTCACACAGCCCAGTTAGTGTTATTATCTCCATAATGCCTTTCCATAGAGATTCAGTTACACAAGGAGTACATGATTATGAGCTCACTAACAATTTCAAAGTCTACAGAAAAGGAATCACTTTCTTCCTTCTACGCCTTACTCCCTGGTCCTGCCAGTGTTGGCCCTCACCCCAGCCCTCCAT